TTGATTACTTTTTGATAAATAATTCGTTCTTATTGCGAAATAGGAGTACTATTTATCAATCTGTAATAAAAGACGTGAGGAAATTCTGTCTTTTTAAAAGACAAAAATTTTTGAGGCGAAATACCCAAAAAGAAATTTGTAAAAAATGAAACCGCCTCAACAATATAGACCTTATCTATAGTTATTTATGATTTATTGTCATCGAAAGTACAATTGACTAGAATAGTTCCGAAACTCAGTTCAATCAACATGTATTTTGGCACTTCAGTAAGCACTTTAAAAATACGTTAACTAGTGGTTAATATAATACCCTTCACAGTTTTGTACTTGTATCGAACAAGGGAATGTAATCAATAAAATTTACTAAGTTAATAAAGGAAAATAATTTTTAACATAATTAGCTGGAAGAGTTCACACTACGACATGCCTATGTATTAATCACGAACGAATTATCCGAATTCCAAATAATTATCCAGGGTTTGTGGTATGTTATGTAAGTTTTGCTGCTGAATACTTCAAACATTTCTGACGATTTCAATAGAGATTTTGCTATTTAAGCAAAAGGCACTTCTTAATAATATTTCATATTAAATGAGCGCCTAAAGGTTAAAAAAGCGAAACCAATGTTTCCTGAAAAAGAATGAAAAATGTCTGTATTCAGTTCAAGCTGAGTTCAAAATTATAATTTCACCAAATAAATTTATTATGTTCATCTCAGAAAATCACTTTTAAACAAGCTGAATGAGTAATATATTGGGCATCATGAAAAATAAAAATTTACTGATTTCACTGTTCTAATAACAATGTTACTGAATAAATCATAATTTCTTGATCAAGGTTCAGTGCAAGACGAGATCGATTTCAGATCTGAAATCGAACGTACCACACTTCCAAACCAGCAGCTTTGCAGAGTACTTTTTAAAATTCCTCTACTGACGCATTTTTTATAAATAAAAGTACTTACCCGCAGTTGCATTTAAGACATGGACATTGATGGAAGCTGGAACTGCATTACTAGGACTACAAGTGTAGTTTCCGTTATGACTTTTATCCGCATCTTGCAGATGTAGTATGCTAGAGCTTCTGCTTTCCACCACAGAAATTCCCTGATCATAGTTGATCATTCTCTGTTCATGGAACCAGAAGACAAAAGCAGGAGGTTCTGTAGAATGTTTTAAAGTGCAGACAAGTCTTAGCAGAGAACCTGCTCGGATGTAGAGTTCTGGAGCTCCCTGTATTTCCGCTTGCGCCTCTGAAAACAAATTAATTGTTCACATTTCAGTCTATACGGATATCTATGATGTCGAAATATGATTCCTCCATATTTAGATTAAAATTAGTTCGTTTACATAAGTTTGAAAATCACCAAAGACTATGCTACAATATGAATTAATCAACACATATTTATTGAAATCAAGTTCAAGATACTCAATCTCCTGCAAACAGAGCACCCCCATAATAATGTTTGACGGCTATGCCTAAAATATGTCTTCTATTTGGTTTAATTTGGCTAGTTTATAAACCCCAAGACTAAAGAATTTGAGAACTTGCTTGGAGAGTTTGGTACTACTACAACCGGCGTTTTCAAGGCAGCTCGTTCAAATTTTCAAATTACCATGGTGAGCGTTAATATCCGTTAACTGGTGAGAACTCAAAGAACAAGATTGACCACACCACCCAACATGAATCATGTAACACCCCACCTAAATATATGAGATTCAGCGCTTTGCTATTATCTTATTATTCAATATTTTTCCAAAAATAGTTTACTTTGTATGTAGTAAGTAACTCACATAAAGTTATCCTAAACTAGCTTACATTTCCATTTTCCAAATTGAAATTAAAATTTGGTTATTATCATTAACATGTACTGAATCCGAAAGTTCAAACGAGAACATGGTTATCTACTTTGTGCTCTCTGCTTTATTATGCCACCACATATTAAACCATATGCAAATAAAATGTTTAATAAGCAGTGTAAATGGCAATAAAAATGCATGGCCATAACGGCAATAACAAAATGAATTTGCCCAGTAATTTATACGGAAACTTTGCCAAATATAGTTGTTCCGTTGTGATGAAAATTTGAAGCATTTGTTGCACGTTATTTCAGTAATATATTTTTTGCATGGAACGAGATATGAATAATGATCATTGATTAAAATTGGACTAAAATGTTTCATTTTGAATTTAATAATATTTATTTGTATTCTGAGGTTTAAATTTATAACGTTACCAATAATATCCATTATGTGTGCAGGCATAATAATGAGAGGTATGAAGCAAATGGTTTGCAGTAAATCATATAAATAAAATAACAATATTTTCGTAAATACATTTACCAATCAAAATTTTTTCAAACCAGCGTGAAAAAAAATGTTGAAATTAATTGAATTGAAATAAATTTCGGCATACTTAGCCTCAAGCGAGAAGAAATATAGGGCTATTTCATAAGAGAAATTTAAAATAACAAATTTGATGAACACTGAAATGTTACTTTGGCGTTTTGACAACGAATTTTCTATCGTTTATCTATAATATAGGTAAATCAAAAAGAAATTACAGATTGAAAGAAAACGTTTTTATTACCAGTTCATCATAAATTAAGTGAGGAAATATTCGCGTGTTCGAACAATGTTAAATTTGGTGCCAAGTACCTTAATAAAGCTATTGTAAAATTAACCGGTAGTGGTATTACAGTAGATTTAGTGTTTAATTTGTAACTAGGAATAGTAAGTTGAAAGTTTTCAAAAAGGGTCTTTAAAATAATTTAACAATTAAATAAACAAATGTCGACAATATGTTGATTGCTCAAAGCCATAAGACATTCAAATTTTTGAGTGGGTGAATTTATTGAAATCCTGCTCAACGTGCTTATTAAATTACACTAAAATTGGTCTTTGTCATTAACACTGAATCAATGTTTCAAAATTTACAGCATTTATGCGGCGAAAAATACATATAGGCAATAATAATTTCTACCACAACTTGATTTTTCCTGAAATGATTGTTGTTACAATGGCAAACTGTTGCACATGTTATTAATATAGACATTTTAATTACTCAATAAATGTGAAGCAATTAACGGGTATTATAAATTTTAAAAACTGTAACGAAACAAATTCGGGATTCGTGGTTAATAACAATTTAAGTCAAAATTGATATTTGGGATGCATACAGGGTGATTCAAAATTGGCGTCATTCCTCTGAAGGTGTTGTCTGGGGGTGTCTCGGGAGTACAGAAAAAATAGTAAAAGAAATTAATTGTTATAAAAAACTGAGAAATTTCCAATAAACTATATCAGAAGTACGGCAGCAATGCTTTTCAAGGTAATCTGCCTAATTAACATTGGGCAAATACCGGTTGCTTCGTAATTATTTAAAACTCCCGTAACCATGGAATTATACAGTGACAATAAGATAGACAA